TTAGAGCTGTTGTGCATAGGGTCGCTATGAGTCGGAAACGACTCGATGGCACATAACAACAACAACAAAGTAATGTTAAAATAGATCATTCATCAATAAACCCATCTAGAATTGGTAAATCCATCAAGACAAAATATGAATGGGCACCTGGAGATACAGGAAGAGAGAAATAAAGCATTAAAAAAAACAATTAGTTAAAACCTAATCTTTTCCCTAACCAGAAATCATAACTGAGGAGAGCATGTGAACCACCCTTCCCAAGCACTTGAGGGAGGGAAGGAAGGCAGCAAGCTTTCTGAGCACAGTCCTGGATCCCAGTGACTATTGTGACGTTAAATCCAGGCAACACTCTGGACAAGGAGTGTTTTTTTTTTTTACATTTTCAGTTTTTAATGAAGTTGTGTTAATATTTTACTTCTGCGTCTTCTCAATTTGTTTTGTTTTTTAAATACAGATGCAGAGCCAAAGACACAGAGAAACTAAGAAATAGGTCCAGGCTCAGTATTAATAAGTGAAGGGACCTGATCTGTATGATTCCAAAGCTCATATTTACACAGAAGAAAATCCTTAAAAAAGAATTTCCTCCATCTTTTCAAAGTAGCATACTCAATTTGAAAATCTATCTGCACAAAAGCAAGGGTGGGGTGGCAGCTGTCCAGTTCCTAAAATTTGTTAAGAGTGGTTTGGGACCCCCGTGTGTACCCCACTTCTCTCTGGGTGGACCCCAAACAAGAGTGAGCAAAACTCTGTCATTCTGCTGACTGGTGCTCTGACCAGATACACTGAAGTGTCTCTAAGTTTGGGAGTAAATTATTAAGTCTGGAAGAGGAATTCCCTCCTAAGAGGGATTGGTATAGTGTCTGCAGCAATGGGCTCAAATGTGTCTGGGATAAGGATGGGACAGGAGAGGAGAGGATCTCAGGTCTATTGTTCAAAGAGTCACTATGATTAGTACTTGACTCAATGGCACTTAACAACAACAGAAATCAAAACAGGGCTAGATCTTTCCTGCTCTTTGTTAAATGACATAAAGCACCTAAGCAAGAGTAACTCTCCAGCCACAGAGACTGACTGCACTTTCGCCTTCTGGCCTCTGGCCCTGGGGTTTGGGCAGCGTTGTGGCAGGCACCGAGGGCTGGACACCCAGGGACATGGTTTCAGGAGCAGCAGGGCTGGGCTCAGAGGTCCTCTGATCTGTCCCTGGATTTGGCTACAGCACAAAGTTCTGTGACTCAAAAGTCTGGACACCTGTCTTTCGTAAATTGTTCTCAACATTTTAAAGGATTTTTTTAAAAAATCTGAACTATTGTCATGTTTTGCAAATAAATAAGAATAAAGTGGAAACACTCTAGTGTCTTGAAAAAAGACCAACCTTTTTCTTCTGCTCAGCCAGGATGTGCTCTATCACTCTCCCAACCGTCTCATCAATACTCAGTCCTAACAGTGAGCTCTTGGTTCGCACTTTCTTAACAAACCCGGCAAGCTCGGAGCTGAAAGGAGAGCAGGGACAGATGACACTAGAAGTCTGCTTCTCCACTGCCCAGAAGCCTTATGTACCGATACTAACCCAACAACTAAAAGAAATATAAAAACCAAACACACAAAACCAAAAATAGACTATATGACAATGATCGTAATGACATCAAAGAGGTGGAACACAGCTTGCTTGAGGGAAGGAAGTCAGCACCGAGGCCAGTAAGAATTGTCTTTAAGTGTCTAGAAACACCTAAAAGTCAGCATTCCTAATGCTCGATGGCTCAAGTTACAATTAAGTAACTAAGGAATTCTAGCGGCGCAATAGCTGGGTCATATGGGATTTCTATGCTCAGCTTTTTGAGAAAACATCAAACTGACTTCCAGAGTGGTTGTACCATTTTACAGTCCCACCAACAGTGTATGAGAGTTCCAATCTCTCCCCATCTTCTTCAACATTTATTACTTGATGTTCTATTAAACTTCGCCACTGCAAAGTTTAGGAATACACCCCGAGGAAAACAGAACTGGGACACAAGGGAGATTTGTATGCTGATGCTTACAGCAACATTATTCACAATAGCAAGAAAATGGAAACAGCCTAATGTCCATCAACAAACAAATGAACTGAGAGACTGAGATTGTGGTACATTCACATGATGGAATACTATGCAGCACACAGGAGCAACAATTTAAAAAAATACTACCTAATAAGGGATAGGCTAGAGAGCATTATGCTGAGTGAACTTAGTCTCAAAAGGACAAATACTGCATAAGACCATTATTTTAAAAATTGAAAGGTAACTAGTAAGATGTGTATGAAAGTCCAGTGGGGAAAGGGAAGGAGCTGGGGGGCTGAGGGTGGGCAGGGAGGATATAACAGGGTTGCAGTGTTTGATAGATGGAGGGAGGTGGTGAAGACAGAGTTTTGTGGGTAAAAGAATTAGGAACGATCCAGTGGGGATATGGAAAAAACAGAGTAAAGGTGATTAATTTTATAAAACACAATGTATGGGAATGATAGTATAAAATACAATGTGAGTGAATGAATGTGTGAAACAATGAATACAAATTTTGTATGCAAACCAACATAAAAGAAAAAGAATTTTTAAAATTTTATTTTATTAATTTTCATGAACATTTACAGAGATTTTGGATTTCCATTCATTCATTGTTGCACTTCTCTCCCTGCCCACCCCT